CCAAGATGCATAAGCATAGGGACCAGGAACCTGCCAGTCCGGAGTATGACTGTTGGGGTGGCAGCCTCTGTGCCCTTTCAGTCTGCCATGTTTCTGCTCCAGCTCCATGCATTGTCAGGCAGCAGTTATGCCAAAAGTGGGGGCTGAGGGGGATTTGGTTAAGAGAGGTTTTGTCACCGCCCCCCCCCACCCCCAAGTCTTGTTCACAGTGCTTCCTCCAAGCTGGCCTCCTGGGCTGTTCCCGTTTGTTTCCATGCATTCTTGTGTTTGGCCATTTTCCAGTGGTTCTCAACCTTCTGGCCCTTTCAATACAGTTCCTCATGTTGGGACCCAACCATAAAATGATTTTCGTGGCTACTTCATAACTGTAATGTTGCTACTGTTATGAATCGTCATGTAAATATCTGATATGCAGAATGGTCTTAGGCGACCCCTGTGAAAGGGTCGTTCGACTGCCAAAGGGGTCGCGACCCACAGGTTGAGAACCGCTGTGTTAGATTGTGCCTCTGTCCCCAAGGCCATGTGACACGGTAGTTGGAACTCAGGTAGTGGGTGAAGGTGTGTGGTAGTCATCATGGCGGTGGCACAGTAACTTGCAGGTTCCTCCAAGGAGGGCGTCACATCCTGGGAATGTCAAGCTCTCCGAGGCTTTCTTTGCCAAGGCCCCAGTGGGGCTCCAGTTCCTGCTCTGGGCCCTCGCCATTCCCTCTTTGGTCTCAGGCAGGATGGGCACCTAGAAACTTCCTAGTTGATTTTACCCTCTGGTGCTTGCTGCTTTGAATCAGCCGAAGCTGTGGGCGGTGTCCTGCCCAGCCTGCAGGCCCCGGGCACCACTCCTCCACAGGGCAGTGCCCGTGTCTGGGCTCTGCAGGCCCTGGGCTGTGAGGGGAAGGCATGAATCCTTGGTGTTGAGAGCTGGGCGAGGGAGAAACTGGAAAGACAAGGAGGAGGGGAAGAGGAACAGGGAAAGTGGGGTCTGCTTCTCCAGGAACCAGAAGGGAGAGGGGGTGAGAGGCACATTCTCAGAGGCAGGATGGGCTCCCACCCATATGAGTGCCCAGCACGCTCCCGACCCTGTCTGTGCCCACGTCCAAGCAAGACCGAGGATTTACGCTTTTCCACTTGCGGCAATCCTTGCATCGGCCCGTGTCAATCCTCTGAAATTCTGGCCCTCCGGGTTGGAAGCAGGAGGGGTGGCAGAGTCACCCTGGCATCAAGATCCTGTGCCACGGGGCAGCAGACCTGGAAGAAGAATGCAGGAGCAGACATGTCTTCCTGTCCCCGGGGCCTCTCTGGACTCCAGCCCGATGCTGTGGACCAAATGGGAGACTGCAGGATGGGGACACTGGCCTTCCCGACTGGGGCCCGGGACCTCTCAATACACTGCCCCCCTTTTTTATCCTTATTCCCTTCCTGCTCCCTCCCCTCTGCCAGGTGCAGAAAAGGTGGCTGGTCTGGGTGTGTTCCCCAACCACGGTAGCATTAGCTGAGTCACGCGGCGTGCACGACATTTGTAGCAGCTCATCTGCCACATAGAGCGCTTGGCTGATGGAGTCCTCATGGAGTTGTCTCATTACCGTGCAAAGTCGAATCATGTCACTCACCTTGACTATAAACAAGCCTTGGAGACATAATAAACAGAACCTGAACCCGCTGCCCTTTGCTGTCCGCCCACGTTTCTTTCTGAGGCCCCGCTTTGCACAACACGTGGACGCCCCGGGGGAACATTGGCCCGGACCTCACCCAGCCCAGGCTGGCAGGGGGCCAGCCACCAGGAAAGTGGTGGTGGCGTGGGTGGAAATGGGATGGGGCTGGTTTGGAATGAATGTGGGGGCAGAAAGTGACTTCGGGTTACGAGAGTGCCTTTGAAACTGTAAAAGGCCAGACAAACAGGAGATGGTATTTGTATTAGTGCCACCTATGGCTGGATAATGCAGGGAGAGAAAGGCTGAGGGATGGCTGGTGTGTTTGTGCAGCTGGGCAATCTGAAACGGAGTGGTTGGTCCTGTTTATGACTGTACTCACTGTATACAATCGGCGTGCCCCTGAAAAGTGTGCATTCGTCACCGAATCTTTGAATGTCTCTGGTGATCAGGTTCCGTGGAGGGGACAAAGGAGAATGAAGGGGAGTATCTGCTTGCAAAAGCTCATTTTTAGGTGTAGTGATGATAGAGATAAACAAAACCTTAACAATCCAAATAATTAAAATGCACCAGAGAAAGGAACGCGGATATTTCTTCTAAGGTGAATGCCTTCATGTTACATGAAAAAGCCTTTTGTAATGCAGGTGATCACTCCTAAATTCTAATTTTGTGGCCTGGGCAAGGCACGGTGGTAGCCT